CTTTCTGACTTTATGAAGTCAAGTTTTATAAGTAATTATGTGTTTAGCTCTTCAGCAAAAATGATGAGCGCTAAACATATTCTGTACTTTATTTGGATTTAAAATGCTTTGATAACTAAATAGTGTGAAGAAGTCGTACAGGAGTCCAAGTAAGATGGTCAGCGAGACCGACTGCCATAGATTTCAGAATTTTAGAATAGACCTGCCAGAAATCATTATCTGTCCTACAACTTGTTTTATTTTTGCTACGAGTATCAGGAGTAATTGACCCCAATGCTATTATAGATTCGATACGAGTAGTTCATCTTTAATTATTTAGATAACCAGCCATTTTTAACATCTGATTGTAGATTATTCAATTACGAACACTTACTACGAACTTGATTTAAAACTAAATTACGTAAATTTCATATTTTTGGAGTTCTAAAAGCATTTTATAAAAATAATAATCACATGCTTTCAACTTAGTCCTTTGAAAGTTCTTTCCATAACAACTTCAAAAAAGTCCTTTTTTGTCCTGTTGCTTCGTACATTTATACAAACACATAACATTAGAAGCACTCACATTTATATTACTTAGAGCTTCCATCATCCACCTTATTTTAATTAAACATAATCCACTTTTATCTTTAAATATGCGTTTTCAGCTTTTCTTTTTCTTTTTGTGGCATTTTTTGAGTAGCTATAGTTTTCTCGCTCTTATGTGAGTTCTTAATATTTCTGCTGACATCTTCCCCGAGTGAGAAGCACTTTTAAGCAAGCTCATTATGCCAAAACAACATTCCCTGTTATCTTCTTTTTCGGTTGCTCTGTTTTTTTTACTTATTTAGTAATAATGTGCGTCCTTGCAATTAGTTTCCTGCTTTCTATGTTTGCACCTGCTTCGAAGGTGAATGCGTCAAAATTTTTTTGTTGCAGACGGAATGCTTATCTTGAGTCTTAGCTTGGTGTAAGTCAATTTTATGTGTTTCTTTGAACTACAACATAATCCCATGAACTCCAGTATACTACACTGACTACACTACACTTGTTCATTTACCAGAAAGTTATCCTTTCAACTGTTCACAAATTCCGTATTTCGTATTCCGTACAAACGAAAATGCTTTTCCTTCCTAGTTGTGCTTTGGTTTCTTTTGTGCTCAGTTTTCCATAGTGAATACATGCTTTACTACTTGATTCCTTCAATGAATCTGATTGTTTTACTTGTTAACTTCATGCCGTATTCTCTGCTTATAACACTCATCCACTCCCACTCCCACTCCCACTCTTAGTCTCCTTCATAGTTGCATTTATTTTATTTATTTTAGTTTTAGTTTCGGAATTCATTCTGCTTTTTTGATTTCGTATTTCTTTAATTAAAATTCATACGTTTCTCCACTGTAAATATTGTTCCTACTCATGTTGTTGTTGTTGTTATTGTTTAGTTATGTTATTAGTTATTCCTGTCGACTTGCCTCTCTGTATGTTCTATCCACAGGATGTTCCGGTTCTAGGCGATGGTATCTATCACATTGATTCGTTCCTCTTGAGCGTACCGAAAACCGCAATATTTGTCGGATTACAAAACGATTGGACTCAAAAACCAAATATTAGCAATGAATTGACTGAAGGTGACAATCACAATGTTTGTCAAATGCAGGATGAACTGGGCGACGAAGAACAGTGTAGCGGTGAATGCCAGAGCAGTGATTGTGACACTGAAGCGTGCTACTATATCGGTCAAAATCAGAGTTGTACAAACTACAAAGATGATAGCTTTGATGGCGGCGATGATGAATTTGTTATTGTAACAAATTGGAACGATATGACATGTTTGCATAATGGCTACTCCTACAACCACAACCACAGCCACAACATTAACAATTACAATAACAACAACTGCAATAATGAATGTGATATTGTTACTCCAATGTCTTCCGATTCATACACTAGCGCCGACACCACACCAACTGAGGCTACCAATAGTTCAACAGAAGCGTCAGTGGAACAGCGTGGGGCACAAACATCTTTGCACAGCGAGGACTATCAAATACCAATTTTTCCAGCAACATTTCCACATAAGTGCCAAAAATAAAGACAAATTCATAACATGCTGTGCCCAATACTGATGTGCTCAGGATAAGAGAAGGCCTCATCAGAGGCTTCAAAGGAGAGCAAAGAACACAAAGCGTTAGAGCGGCAAGCGCCAAGCTCCAAGCGGTAGAGCAGTATATGTTGGCATATATTATGTATATATTTTCGATTACATAAAAACCTTTTAAATATGTGACAATGTAGCAAAATAAAATTTGTTTTAAAATTGAAAGGAAATTTATGTAAAATGACAATTGGGAAGCCATGCACTCTCGCATCCTGCAACACATATGACAATGCTTCGCTTCATTTAGAAACAAAAATATATAAATATTTATGTTAAAAGGACACATGTAGATGTGTGCTCCTATTCGTACCATAAAAATGTTATCAAATCAAAATCAAAATCGAAAACGAAAACGAAGCTAAAGAAGCCGAAAATTTAAATGAAAATGAAAGCACAACAAAGGAAATGTCTCACAACAAAAACAAACAAAAAACAAAAATTTAAAATCCTTTTGAACAAATGACAAAGTTGACTATCAAAATTTTGCATACAAATAAATTAAATTAAATAAAAGAAAATATATATAATAGTATATATACAAATAAAAATATATAAAAAATATTCGCAATGAGTTTTTTAGCTCTGAAATTGGTTTTGATATCCATTCAATTTTTATTCATATTTTTCCTTTAGTTGGAATTCGCTTTTAAACTGACGACGAAAATGTCTTCACAGAATAAAGTCCGGAAATATCATTTGTTTTTGAATCTTAACAAAGTTGAAGGAGTGGGAAATCGATTGCGCCTTAGGCAACTGAATAAACTGAGTAAAAACTAATTAATATAAAGGAATATCTGAATAACATGAATTCATAATTTGACGCAAAACTAATTAGCAACATAAATGCTTTATCATTGCGACTTAATTTAACAACGTAAAAAAAGTTTTTGAAGAAATTTCAAAAAGAAAAACTTGAGTATTTTTGCAATTAATCACACAAAAACTTAATTACAACATACCTGGCAAATATCATTTGACGAGGTTAGGATGGGTTAAATGCATTTTAATCGTGTACTCGTATTGTGCATTTTATTTTACTTGATTAAATACAAATAATATACATGAATTATTTACTCGATGTGCATTAATTTATGGAATTTTAATTTAATTAAAATAAAAAAAAAAATAAATTTATAATCTGCTTTAATGTTAGTCACCGCCCATGAGAATTTGTGAAAAATGCACTGCGACTACAGATTTTGTCAGGTACTGTATAACAAAATGTGCATAACAGAATGTGCATAACACGATGTGGATAACAGAATATGTCACTGCTATAAAATTTAATTTTTATATAAATCCATGTTCAGAATTAAAAAGAATACTTTGTCCAACAATTTTAACTTCTAAGAATGTCTTACAGAATAATTTAGCTATATTAGATTTTATTTATAATGCCATTAAGATTTAAAAAAGAAAAAGAAATACAGATAAGCAAAGAGATGCACAATCAGAACATCACAATATATATTAACTGAAATATATAACGCCTCAGTTACAACTTATGTTAAATACATGTCAATAGCAGTTAAAATAAATAAAAGTCAAAGTGCCAGCTAACAACACCAAAAAAAAGAAAACAATAAAATTACATAAGAAAATTTGAAAAAAGTGTTAAAAAACTGCTTTAAATACATTGAATAAAATGAGAATGAAAAAAAATTTCAATTAAAATTCACTATATATATATTTTAAAGGTAAATTAAAGGAGTTTTCTTAAAGAATTCTTCTAACATTTGTAGCATTTATTTGCCGATTATAGTATATTATCTGAATTACAGTTAGTAATGTTGATTAAAATTTCTTTCTTAAACTTGAACGACAGTGTATGATGGAAAATAACTCCAGTTCAGCAGTTATTATAGAGTTAAAATTTTTTATACAATATATCCAAATGGTTATAATTAGATACATTTTTTATTTAAACATATGACCATATATGTGTAAGCAAAAAAAATTAATAAAGTTGAGAAAAATCTCATGTAGCGACTCGGAAAGATTCCCTTTTTAAATTATTTCAACTAAGGCTTCAACAAAATTTTCAAATGCGGTTAGTTTAGTCAAATAATTATATGTAGTGTCATGTTCAAAAATAAATCTATTATCCTCTCATTATCCTAGTTCCACATTCGACCAATTAGCATGTGTTGGAGATTACCGATTCCGCGATAATATTTTAATTAATTTTATAAAAATTTAATGAAAAGGTACAAACTTTTCATTGTTGTGTAACTTTTTGTGTAACTGAATTGCAACGCCCATTGGCTACTTTGATGTTTATTTTCTAAAATTTAACTTAATCCAATTAAATTTCCATAATTATATTTTTCCAAAATTTGCTCCCCCTCCTCCTGCATTTATTTTCCAAAGTTCGAACTTTGTTTAAAATTGTTTTGCTATGCTTTACGAATTTATTAAGTTTTGTTTTTAAATTGTGCTTTGATTATATTTGCATTTTGCTTCATTGTTGTAATTGTTTTTATTTTGACTGTTCCAAATTTCCATTTTTAAATAAATATCTAGTGAATTGTCATAGCAATCACGGCGTATGAGCACCCATTCTAATGTGCAGACAAACATATGAAGAAACATGCAATAGGCCTATAAAAGCATCTAGCTTTGCTGCCTAAAATTGCCGAAATTTACAGCGAAAAGGATTCCAATTTTTTTCAGTGTGTTTACTTTGAATTAGTATTCTATATGCATTACGATAATTTCTTTATTTTCCGACTATGAAACGCTACTCTAGACTATTGACGAGCTTGCGCCAAAAGACGTGTTGCTCCCGCGGAAAAGTGAAAATTTGTTTCGCAGTGACAGACTTTTTTCATATTTCTGAATTTGATTATTGCTCTTTTAGGAACACATACGTCAATCAAAGGAGAGCAAGTTGGATGAAATGGGTCGCCACTCGAAGGCACGTTCACGAGAAAACATATCCTTAGTTATGTCTCCAAGGTAAGTGAGGGAAAAAAAATCTCAAAAATGTTTTAATACATAAAATAAAATGAATTTATACTGATTACTTGCTTGCTTTTATATACCGATAAGCTCACATATAAACCTGGGCTAAGACGGTTTTGTAGCTAAAAATAAAAACACTGATTTGAGTTTTTTCTAAATGAACAGTAAAAAGCATTCGCAAACCTCATTACAAATTTTGGATGATGTCACGAATGGTTATTACCGCGAGCTAGTACCGATTTCAGTACAAACAAGTAAAGGCGACTTAAAGGAAAAGGAACACAGCATCCTGCGGCATCACCACGACATGATTGTGCAAACGAGTCTCTGTGGTGATGATTCGTCCGCAACAACCGCAGAAGCTCCCGCCATCATTGAAAAGAGTAGCAACGCCTGCGACATGGGTTGCCAAACGAGGTGAGCAATCTAATTGTTGAATAAAAAAAATTAAAATGAGTTACGAAAGCAATTACAATTAAAAGCATTTTTACTTTCACATATCTTATGATTTCATAATTTTACAAAGTTAAATTTAAATTTTTCAGAGAATCGCTTTTCGCGCCATCACTTGAAAGGCAAAAGTCTATTTCATCTTCGATTGGTGGCAGTAGAGGAGTCGCCACTACAACGCCACGATTTTCCACGTTTGGTTATGATATGCCACCAGCCCCACCGCCACCTGCTGTTACTAGTAACACCATAGCGCGCCGGAGCATACGTGTGCCTCATGCTAAATCGGAAGTGGATGAACTTCGTCAACATCAGCACCAGTTACATCAACATCATCTGCATCAGCATCAGCAGCAAGCACCAACTCAACCATTGCATCAGACCACCATAGCAGTTACGACAATTGGTAGACCACAAGAAAACATTTGTCATCATCATCATCAGCATCAGCAACATTTGCAACAACAACAGCAGCAACAGCAACCAAAACTAAACACCGCACTACCGCATACACAGCAACGCGCACACCAGCAACAACTTGTATATACGCCGAAACCTCAACAACATTTGTCGAAAGCAGTTATTACTCCCACTCCAGTAACTGCCCTGCCTCCGCAGACGACAATCACAAGTTCAGGCAAGGTAACAGCTGCTACAGCTCCAATTGTAAGTGGGAAAAACAAGCAACAACAGAAAAGCGACGAATCGAAAGGCTTCATTGACATTAGGAATTCAGCACCGGACGTGATAATTATGACGTCCCATTGACAATTAAGGAAATTCTGGTTATAAAACCGCACCCACAGCGTCACCAAAAGTACTTAAGTCCAAAATTTTCCTACAAGCCGAATTATTCCAACTAACCATACATTGGCTTCGACTTTCTCTGTCATATATCATTTTTATTGTCTACAACAAACCAACAACAACCAATAAAATTGAAAGGATCTCATTGTACCACAGTCGAGACCAGAGTCAGAGTCAAAATCAGCATCAGAATCAGAGTTGTAGTCAGAGTTGAAGTCGAAGTCGAAGTCACAGTGTCATTTACACAATAATAAACGCGTATCATGCCTGCAATTTCAGAGCCATTGAAAAATTAATGGACGCAAAAAATCGCAGTTAAACTGCCATAAGCCACAACCAAAGAGCAGCATTTACCCAAAATGGTCATAACCTTTTTGCTGGCTACTGAAGTCATTGGTACTTGTACTGACGTTGTTGACTGGATAGCACTTGCTGTTGCCGAATTTAGCTTCTGTCTTCCTGTTGCTGTTGTTGAGTGGTACCATTGCACAAATTCACATTACCATTTCAATTTCAATTTCCATGAGACAACATTTTGCATTATTGGGCATTGATGTGCTCTGCCATTCTGCCGTTGTCGCTGCCCCATGGCCACATGGTCACATTTTTTGCTGTTGTCTGGATTAAGAACTGCAAATGTTTATTTTCTTCGTTTCTGTGCTTACCAAAAGTGAAGAGTTAAATAAAAATTTACATACAATTCTCGCCAGCAACATCGACGACGACACTGACAACAAAACAGCAGCAACGGCTTGACGGCAACAACCAGCAATCACCAACATATGTAGACGCTACACACTTTTCATTATTGCACACATTGACGCCAGTCTAACATGGGCAGACAATCTCACGCTCAGATAACAATTACTAGTTGGTAGTTGCTGGTTGCTGGTTGCTAGTTGCTAGCAACTGCCTTCAACATATTTTTAATGTAAAGTAGGTGATGTTCTCAACACAAATTAGGAGCGTTCACTTGTAATTGATATCGTGCAAATAACTGCCGATTGCTCTACGCGTATACGCTAACCGACGAGACCAGAGTACGAGGATAGCAACATTATACGTTCACATGACATGACTCATTCATGCAAAACAAATTAAAATTTCTTCAAAATTATTGCATTTGATTGAAACCCTGACAGATATTACAACTACGAATATTGTTTTCCACCATTCAGTACGATGTGCGTGTGTGTGAGTGTATGTCAACATGTGAGTATGAGTGCGGATATTGAAAATAATTATTGTGTTCAATGCAAAATGAGTACGAGTACACGCGAAATGATGACTTATTACTGCAGCTCTATTTGAATTTGTGCGTGTGTGTGAGTGTGAGTGTGTATTCGATATGTATGGACACATATTAAAGCGAAATATGAGATGTGTAAGTAGCTGTTGTTGCTGTATTTTTTGCTGCTGTCATGTGAAAATATTCAAAAATCACGTATTCATTAGTCGAGCAAGAATAACAACAACAAAAACAGCAATAATAATAACAACAACAACAATAGTAACAGTGAAGGCAATAACAATAGCGAGGAATTGAACAATTATTAAATGCTGTCATCGTTATGGTGTGTAGATGTACATGTACATGTACATGCGTTAACAAGTATTCATACATACAATATATAGTCACATACAATTTAAAGCTAGTAACATTACAGTAAGTCTGCTTACGTGACTTTTTCTGCTAACAGCGCTTGAATGTAAACAGAAGTGCGAGTGAAGCGTCAGAGGCGAATTGAATTATTAGAGGCATTTTTCCGGAAATGAAAGGAACTTGAAGGTTTCGTGCAGAAGCGAAATGTATAACTCAAAATCGCTGTAAAATTTATTGAGTCAGTAAAATAAAATTAAATTCGCGACGGGTGAGTAAATATTCGAAATTGGTGAGGGCAATGGAATTGTTTAGTGCAGTTCAGCTCTATCCACTGAATAGGTAATATCGCAAGAAAATAAAATATTTGTAAAATATATTTGGCTTTTGTAACATAAGCATGGTCTGTATCGTTGGTTTTGGAGGTTGTTAAATTTTTCTATAGGCCCAATATTTTATATAAAATATGAGCATTGATAAGTTGTCATATGATATACGACTGTGTATATGTAAATTAAATATATAAAAATTAATTGTAAACATCTCTTTTGAACAGTCTTTAGTTATTTTTACATGTCACCTATTTTTGTGAAATTCAGGTAAATAGTTTAAAGGTATGTTTTAAATGAATGAAAAATGTTAATTATATTAAATTTATTTATATGGTTATGATTTAAAAAAAAATACAATATACAAATCGCTTTTTATAGGACACAATTAAAGTTTTTAGACTAACATTTAAAATTGTATTGATTTAAATAATGATATTACATATTTTAAGTTTCTTAAGAAATTTTACAAGTAAATAAGTTTGTTAGTTAGTTTAAATTTTGTTCTAAAATTTAGTAAAATTAAACTAATGTGAATCATTGTTATATAAATAACTATATGTGTATATATATCCTCAAACATGTATATGTATATGTATATGTAAAATACAAAATATTATAAACTTAAACCGTAATTCGATTCCTAACTAAATAATATTTTATAAGCAAATAACAAAAAAAAAACTAAATTTCTACTTAATGGTTTTATAATAAATGAAATAAATAAAATTGTGAAAAAACAACAAACTATAATGAAACTATATTCGTCAAGCAACTAATGAGAACTAACATACTTTCTGTACGCAAATATGAAATTTGAATGATAAATAAAATGGAATTATGAATCTTTGTTAAAGATATCCAAAATGGAATTGTGAACTTTTGTCCAAAATATCCAAAATGGAATTGCGAACTTTTGTCCAAAATGGAATTATGAACTTTTGTCCAAATTATCGTTGTGAACTTTTGTCCATAATGTCTAAAATGGAATTGTGAACCTTTGGCCAATATACAATTTTGAACGTTTGTTCATAATGTCCAAAGTGGAATATTCAGAAAGTAAGTTGATCACTGTAATAAAAATTTAAATGTAAATCGTTCAGGGTTGTATGATCCAAACTATGAATTGCAGATTAAAGGATATTTAGTCATGTACATCAGATATAACTAAGTATCCAATGCTATATGCAGCTGACAGAAAAATAATTTGTAAATAGTTAGAGTAATTTTACACTTAATTGTAAGTTAATCTAATGCATTAAGCAACACGAAAGTTGAGATAAATTCAACAAAAATGAAAACAAAAACCAAATAGTTTCCCATTTGCGCACTCTGCAGACGAATCAATTAAATTGATCCGAAAACAAGACATATACACGTAAATATATATATAAATATAAATGATATATGAGTATATATAAATATATTTCTAGATATAAATATAAAATATATGATTATGCACGTATCGAGTAGGAAAGTTGTACGTACGTATTTTCGGAACTGTATTGTAGACAACAGAAAACCTTACAAACTATGCTGGCGATATAAACTTTCATAATAAAACAGGAAAATTATTTAAAAATAATTTAAATATTCAATATTTGACTTCCATTGGGAGAAAAAGTAAGTTTTGTGTACATTTTAATTCCAAATTTTGTATTTAATTTGTAAGTAAAAGTCTTTAAGCAAAAAGTTTGTTGAGTTTTTGTTGAGAACTAAGAACTTTAGTTTCCATTTCAGTTTAGTATTTTTGGAAACGTTAAACTTTTAGCAAAATTAAGCATGTCAAGTCTACCTTTGTTAAGTTTAAATTCAGTTCAAAACGATGTATCGATTTGATTTGTTAATTTATTTATGTGTATAAATTGTTTCAAATAAAATTGAAAAAAATATATATCAAAATTGAAATAGTCTTTTAATTATTTATTTTCACTTTAACAAATGGAAGTGAAAGGTTCTGTTCCTGCCCACCTGCCATGAATTAATTTGTTTGCGCTTGACTTCTGCCACTAAAAAAGTTTTTCAGGTTTCACATTTAACATCAGATAGGCTGCAATCAATTGCAGTGAAGCCTTAAACCGCCGCCACAAATAATTGCAACAATTGCAACAAAATAAATCTTCGATACATTCCATATAATACTCGTTAATTGACCCTTATAAAATTAAAGGTCTGACTGTTAACAAACCAGTGAAGGCCTCTTTACGCACATGCTGAATAGATATTCAACTTATGAGCCATTCAGCAATTCATTATGTATATAAGAATCTACGTATGCACTACTAAATATAAATTTGTATAATTTCTTATTGAAAAGCGGAATAAGTACAGCAACTTTGTAATGAAGAATTTATTAAAAAGTAATTAAAATAAAGCAGTTACAGATTATGACCTTCAACTGAAAAAAGACTATGTAACTAGAAGGCTTTGTGGCCTGAAAATATGCTACAAAAAATGTAAACAATAAATAAAAACCTTTCAGCTCAACAAAAATATTTAAAGGTAACGCAGATTTTTGGTCTGCTGACAGTTACTAACTATACAAATGCACCCAACTCTTAGAATGAAGGCCAAAATGTAACATGTTAAGGAGTTTTAATATTAGACGGGGTCAGAAACTCTCGGCCCAGTAGTTTGCTGCTGTTGCAATTCACAGTGTATATTACAAAATGTTATTAAAGTATAAAAAAATTATCTAATATTTGTTGTTAAAATTTAAATTTCAATAAAACGTAAATTTATCAATACAATTATAAGCTGCGTTGACGATTAAATGGGCAGGACCTACGCTTAACGCTGCCTGCATTCAATAATTTCACATCTACTGAACAGAGCAAACACATCGTAACTTGTAAATCGTGAATGCTTGATCGTAAATCAGAGATAAAATCGTAATTGATTGTGGTCAATCAGTTGTTGTAAATTTCAGTGAAACGAAAAACAACAACAACATACAATAGAACAGAATGCAACAATCAATGCATAAAAATAGAAAAAAACCGACCAAATTGCAACAATACGGAACACAACACTAATGCCAAAACAAACAATAAACTCTGTACACAATTTCAACCGCATTTAGCACACAAACACATATGTAACAACCTACACATTCTCTGGTTCACTGATTTACTCGTCGGCGCAATACAGCGAAGGAGTAGCATTTTAAATGTATTAAAATCAAACAAGCCAATTTGATGTTTAAATTGAGTTTGATTTTTTATTTTATTTTTTCTTTGTTATTTTATTAAAGCAAATCAAAATCAAATGAGTGTTCGGGCTAGTGCAGTTAAAATAAATTTGTATTTAATTTGAATAAAATTGGATTTAGGTGAATAAATTTAGCAGTTGAGTGTGGCAACTCGTATGCTTTTTGTCTGCATTTGCGTTACATTTCAATAGAAAAAAGCCTAAAAGTATGTTAAGCAAAAATGAAATTGCATTTAAACCAAAGCCCAACAGTAATTAACGTTTGATTGATTGCTTATTAAGTATTTAAGTATTAATTGAAAACATTGCCAACATACGAAAAATTCACTATTTAGCGCATTAAATGAATATTCAAATTTTAATTTTAATAAATATTTTGATGCATCGCATTTTAATTGCAAAATTATAGGTAAATACAAAATATTATGCATGTTATTTATTTATATTATTATATATTCAATACAAAATTGCATCAATTGCAACACTTGGTTTGTTTATCGAAATACGCTCGAATAGTCACAATTTTAATTTTTGTAAATTTCATTAGACTACATACGTCTACCTACGAGTATACCTCCTTCATATTGAATTATGAAAGTGCATGAAGAGACAAATGAGTGCTGAGTTGGAGTTTATGCAGAAATTTAGTATGGGGCATGATTGGTAAACCAGCAAGAATATGCTCTACATATAGTATATGCTCTATATATGTAACATATTAAGTACTCAACGCCACTGAAATTTGCTGAACTAATCAATGCAAAATGAAGGATTGATAAGTACATTGTCTGATACTGATATGATATTTAATTCTGCTCACAAATTCATATAAAAACTCTCACACTACAAGAGTTAACTGAAACAAACTTTTAATTCTTGAAGAAAGTTTAATAAAAATAATAATTAATATTGCTATGTTAAAAATAATTTGTCAAAATTAGAAATAGAAATGACCATTTGCTATAAATGTGTAAAAGTTTATTTTCTGAGAGTATTCTTTTCTTTTATAAAATTCAACCTTCTGATTTCAATCCGTCAATTAATTTTTAAAGAAAAATAAGTCGAAATTTTTACTTATTTTGTATGTGCAGAAATACTCAGAAATATCAATATTCCAATTTATTTAATTTATTTGATTTTAAATTTAAAAACTTTGTAATGATAAGAGATATCAAGGAAACTGTTAAATTAATTAACAACGTAATGAACATTTGGAAATTTAACGTATTTGGGTGAAAGCAAAAATAACTAATGAAACGCAAGAAAAGTGTAATAAATGAGCTGGAAATGTAAGATCAATAGATATTGAAACTGACGCAGAAGAGCTATGTACTTAACAAAAATGTGAAGCAATATTATTTTAAAACATAACAAAAATAAAAGATTTATATTTAGAAAAAAAAAACACAAAAGACTTAATTTGAAATTGTTTTCCACAGGCAAAAGGCTTGAAATTGAAACGAAATTCAACAGATTGTGTGATTCTGTTTCTGTGAATATTTGCACAAATATTGTAATATATAATCCAAAACTATTTTGTAGTCCTTTCTGTAACTTTATTTTAATTTTGTTTTTTAATCTAATAGTCTAGTAAATCAGGTGCTTTCATGTGTAAAGTAATAATATTCAAATCTTGTTGGTTGTTATGCATTGCTCATATACCTCATATTTTCATTTTATGATAAAAACTGAACTTCAATAGCACCTCTGATAAGCTCTACTCTGCCGGCATTGATGTGCAATTACTGAAAACGTAGAATTTCGGTCAAATTTAATTACGAACGTGATAAATTTAAATTCGATCGTTAAAACTGTCAACAAATCCAATCGCAGATATCAATTTCAATCCGAAGGCTAAAAGCCAAAAATGCGATTTGTGGTACCGACAGTATAAAAGAGTTAAGTGTCAACCCAGCATTGCAGTTGGAAAGCAAGAGTTGTGCGAATACAATTAGGAATAATTCTAAGAATTTCAAAAATTGTTATTGCACAGAAAATCTCGCCCTGAATTGAGAATGTGGAAATGCAAAGTAGGGTGCATAATTGCTATATTGTCGTTGGTAATCATTGAAATTGCACGGTCGCAACAGAGCTATTCCGACGATAACGACAGCATGGAAAATTATTCAGACGAAAGGTATAATCTCAACGATAATGATGCTCTTGAACAAAGCCAACAGGAACTGGAGCTGAAGGGATTACTAAGCCAAGAGCTAATAAATGCAAACACAATTGAACACGAAGCACCAGCACAGCAAATAAAAAATCCAAAGCAAACTAAAAATACTAAAAACACTAAAAATAACAACTTGAAGAGCGCCAAATACGACGATGATGAAGATGAAAACCACAACGGAAATGAACAGAATGGCAGTGATGAGGACGAGCAGTTCGAGTACAATCCTTGGAAACATAGTTTCTATGAGCAATTTGCAGATGGCACCTACGTGTTTGGGTAAGTTGACTATTGTTGCTAAATGCTGTATTGTTTGTCTTTACTGCAATCCGTCGATTCCCAACCTCTTTTTGTTTCGCAATTCTATTTTTGTTTTTATATATATTTTCTTTATTCTAATTGACGGCAAGGTACATGTTGCCATCTGGCGTAACACGTTACGAGCGAAGTTTCTATTCGGAGGAGTACAAAGGACTTGTAATTGAGGGTTTTCACACAGAGCCACGCATATATGGAAAGCACAAGTTGTACGAACTGCGCTGTTATCGCTCAGATACTTACGGCCACAGACCCTTGCCAGGTGAACACACAATAACATTCTGAACTGTTTTTATTTCCTAAACTCATTAAAACATTTTTATTAATTCCGATTTTTATCCTGTACATATTCACACAGTGCAATACCTAAGTCGACCGCCCATTGTGGAGCGCGATTCCAAACCTAACGTGAACTGCTTTGACAAATAGCACCGAGGCGATTCATTGTGGTTTCTATTTTATTTGTAAAAATTTTGAGAATTTCATATCAAAAAAAAAAATAAAATTTTACTAAAAACTAAAATAAGAGCTTTTCACTACGAGTTACAGAAAAAAAAAATAAAATAAAAAAAAACTTTTGCATATTTAAATAAAGAAATTAATTTCGATCCGGACTCTTGATGACTCACTGGCACTGGTACCGGCACGGCGACTAAGCGGCTTTTAGTGCCGCTTCAACGCTTCACCTAAGACAATAGCGATACCGGAATAGTCGAGATGAGACGAGAACAGTGCAATATCTGCGTCCGCATTTTAGCAATTAAGCTAAGGCAATGGTTTGATAACTTTTACAGTACAGTTGAAGCACAGAAAATGGCCTCAGTCTAAAGAGATACGGGCACGCCACGCAGACAGAGAATCCAAAGTATCTAGATTTCGTATAGCATTTTAAATAATTTGAGATACCCGTTCCACTGCGAGCAGAAACTGCCAAAAGCGCTGCCGCTCATGTTCTGTGGCACATGTGCGTCTGCTGGGCGTGGGAAGCGGCGAAATAACAACAATAAAAATTAAAAACAATAGCAGCTCGTATCTGAGCTCACATAAAATATTTTACAACTTCATGAAAAACAAATCGAGATACGAAATTCGAAATGCGAAATGCGAAATACGAAATACGAAATACAACAAATTCGCATTTAACACAAATTTATACATTTGCTCCGATATAAATATGCACATTTATTTGGAGATTTGTATTTTTAGCACTTCGCATTTCAACTTTAGGCAAAAAAATGAAAATTTGAATAAAAATTAAAACATAAACCGAAAGTGAAATAATTTCAATTCAAATACAAGCAAAACGAGAACTTTTATTTCAGAATGAATAAGTCGGTCTTAGTAACAACGTAATCACCCTACAATAAAATTTCTTTGCTCTACACCTTTAGGTGTACACCATTCAGTTCAAAGTGAGGATTATTTCGGATTGATTTTTGTACGGTTTGATGAGATTAGATACTGATATTGGAAAAAACAGCTTTCACAAATTAACGAATATACGATACGATTGGTATACCATATAACATAAGTAGCGCATTGGTATTAATCGAAGTGTTATATGTACTTTTATCAGTGATTTAATGGAAACTAGTTTATTTCTAAAAGCACACGGATCTCTGCTTCATGCTGTATTAGCCTTTATCATTATATCCTTGGCATAAGGGGATGTCACTTCGGTCTAAAATGTGAAGATTTGAGTCCCACATTTTTTCTATTTGTTTTTTATTAACGATTCTTAAAATATAGACAAAAATCATTTTAATATTGCACCAAGTACAAATAACAAATAAGAGGTACTAATAAGCAATTTGATTTGAATATTTGAGGTAAAAACGAAGCTATTTTGCTACTCGCTGTCCATCAAGTCTGCTACTGGTTTCCTTTTTAACCGTCTAGGTAATGCAACTGCTTGACATGTGTTTTCAAACGCTGTGAGCAATGGTACATCTTTTAGCCACGTCGTCTACTGTTGGCGTGCCAAGGTCACGGTGGAGATCACTGTTTCTAATGTAGTATGGTGCATTATTTTGAAAGCTCAGGATAGTTGAAATGTGTTTCTTGCTGGCACAATCCCAGAATTGTGTGTTATAACTCCAAGCCGGCTTCAGTATTTGTTTATAGACCATTAGTTTATTTGAGTCCCTCATGCAGATTCAAGCTTTCAAACGATTTTACTTTTCATATTTGAACAGATTTATCAATATACTATATAACTTTCTGCAAACCTTTATTTCAACAGGTTAACTTATAGTTTACTTATACTTAAATTTATCTCAAAAAACTAAAACAGGTAGTGTTTTTCCATTACTGCTCAGTCTCCATATATACATTGTCTGAAATGCCACAAACTTTGTGGGTCGTATCTTTACTTCTCAATAACATTGTACCGTTTTCAATCTTTTTTTCTTTGAAATTCCTATCTTCATTTAGTTTTAAATTGTACTTTAAACAAGTTTCAGATTACCAATGTTGTACAAACCATTATCTAATTTTTGAAAATGTTTTTGAGGTGTTCAGAGATAATTCAAAATACGAATTTAAAGTGCTCAGTGAATTACTATTGTATGTTAAAATAAGCCGTTTGTGATTCAATCCCTCTTCATGTATAATAGCTTCCACTCTATAAAATTACGCTATTAACTATAAATATGCATTTGTTGTGCCTTTTTTCTGAATAACTTTCTACCATTCCTATTACATGCAAGTAGGCGCTTTTATATCTAAATTAAAATAAATTCCACTTATTTGAATTTAAACGATTTTTTAAGAATTGATATAATTGAAATTGAAAAGTGTAAGTTAACTAAAAACTGTGTTATATTGTCCTTATTAAATATATTAACATTTGATTCATTCATTACCACCAAGACCGAAATTCTTTCATAGTCTAATGACTGAGATCTTTACGACTCATTCCAAAGAGGTAATGTGGATTCACGTCTCTACATATTCTAATTCCAATTCTACTACATAGAGTTACTAAAACATCAAAACCAAATGACATGAAAACTATTGCATGGACTAGTCCTATAGAAAGATTAGTTATGGAGCAGGTGGTACCCTTCAATAATAGCGCTATATAAATGTACATTGCTCTGTAAATTGATTTTACATAACTGGTAACCAGTGTACACCAATACTGTTTATATAAAGTTTAGTCTTTGCACTAGTATTCAAATTAGTCCTATTTTTTACCAAGGTGGTTATCGTTAATTTTTCATCGCTATGAATGTTATGATATTGTTATCACCATTTTATAGAATTTTATGTGTAAGTAGGCCATGAAGGTCATGAATGAAGCTCACAAATATTTTCTAACAATCCACATTTTACATAAATCCGAATAACGAATTCTCATTTCAAAATTTTCTATATTTTTGTAAACAGAATTTTTTCAATAGCAACTAAGTTGACATAATGACGAAGTGATTACCACAGAAAAGTGGAATTCAAAGGATAAGTAAGTGTAACGGAGTTTAAATTTGAGTTCTAAAATAGCACTTTTTGTTGCGAAACGATGAAATCATGCTCTTCCAACTCATGCAGATTCACCGCCAGATCTACTCATGCACAAAAATCCCCTTCAATGGTGGCTGCGAAACCTGCGGCTGAAGCACTCGGCAAAGTAAAGCACAAAATTAAACTCCTTGGATTGCAATCCATTCTTGATATTTAAACCTCGTTTGTTACGAATATATTTTTCCATGACACAAGTTTTTCAAAAATATCGTCTCATTGACATTTTTGACAAGAACAAAAACCATCAATTACAACTTCTAGGACATAAACTCACAATTTTAACAGAACAGCAGCAACAACAACAACAACAACAACAACAACAACAACAACAACGATTATTAGTACACAGTGACAGAAAAGCAACAAACTGTGTAAAGTATCTAGAATCAAATGTGAAAAATGTGCTGACAGCGCAATTTTTCTTCGTCTTCCTACTCTCATACTGCTCTCTGCTCCCTTCTTTTAGCACTGCTGGTCCCATTCACTGAATTGAGCGCTTCGAAAATAAACAAAAATAACAAATTTAATAACAAATAAAATTGAAATGTAGGCGGTGAAGAGTAGAAGCAGAGATGGAAGAAGAAGCATAAGGACTTTCCAGTGAAAATGATTTAAAATTGTTGAATTCATGCATTTGGATTGTCATAAGTGGAAAAAAGTCGTTAGGACATAAATTTATGCCAGAGCTTAGTCATAAACCGATGCTTTTATTGCTTATAATTATAAAGCACGAAGCTTATCGCGATTTGCATCAGGTAATGCGTTTAGTTCCCGTTGACCGCTGACGCAAACATTTCGAAAGCTAAAAACAAACGCAACGCAGCGCCGCATAGCTGCATATTTGCACTGGTCATTGACCAAACAAGAATGTCTACTCTGCACTTGCTGCCGCTGTTTTAGTGCGCTGCTGCTGCCACTGCTGCTGCCGCTGCAGTGCGGCGCTGCAGTTATCGTCTCTGCCTTTCCCTACACTTGGCACACTTTGAGCGGGAATAACCATTATTACAAAGAACAAGCGTCAAACTGAACCAGCGCAGTTATAAAATTAAAGCGAATGAAAGAAATGAATAAACAATATGTACCAGCTTCGCTGGCATGAGCTGCAGGGTTACGCCGAAGGGTGTGGGCGCTGCCATAATTTGTACTTCTTGTTAACATTTCACACAAAACCACAAGAAATGCAAAAACAAAAGCACAAATAAAAACCAACAACAACAAGCTTTTGCTGTCATCTTTTTCAATACCAACAACAACTCTGCTGCTGAACTGCTGTTGCTGTTGCTGTTGCTGATAGCCAGCGCTTAAAAGAAATGCACACACTCATACACATACACATACATATCCACTCGTAAATGGCCATAAATAATAACAAAACTCAGAATGAGAAGGATTCTGTGCTAAACCAATTTTCGGGGGTATAAAAACCAAAAATTTGGCTTTTTAAGAATCAATTATTAAATTTCAGTCGAAGCATAAACTTGAAGATTGCATACTAAGTGAGCGACAGTAAAAAGACAACAACAATGCCCAGTGATAAACTCGGGCGATTTCGAGCATTAAACAAATTAAAATTTTAAATTTTCTTTAAAGCTCCTAAGCGGCCATAAAATGAGACGTGCTTTAATTTTGGCGACCATTATTTGTGTCTTTAGCGTGCTTAATGTGGCGGAAGCACGTTGGACAACAACTACCAGAAAAAGCAGGACAACGACAACAACAACACCAACAACGAAAGCGACACCTACCACTATTAAGACAACGACAGCAGCTGCATCGAATAATGCTGATGATGACCGCACCTATCATCCCGCTGAAGTGCTTAGCCCACGACTCATTGAGAGATTTGATAAACGTTCTTTGGACGGTCATTACGAGTACAGGTGAGTGATTTGCATATTTCCATCTGTAATGATACCACATTAACCAAA